TAGGCTGCGACCAATTGAAGCATTTTCATAGAGACTGTAGGTGTCAGATGTACTGGCTGTCATCTCTTCGGCATTGCTGCGACTGTAGGTGATGCGCCGCTTGCTACCAAAAGGATGCGGTATGCGACATTGAAACTGCACGTATGTGGAAAGCAGCGCTTGGCGACCATATTGATCCACTACTAAGTCATCGTTCAGTATCTAAAGAATAGGGTATGTAATAAAAGTTTACCACACTAAGCCACAGAAGGTAAATCTAGCTAACCGAGAGATTCGCAGACACCATACAAAGCATTTCAAAGACGGTGGAACCCAGTGACAGTGGTTGACCGCCAATTTTATAGGTCGTCACCAAGAGCTCTATCAATTTATCCAACACCAAATGTAAATTCTTCACTAAAGGTTCACGCTCAGCGCTTGCAATCTCTAACAAGGCCTTCTTCATTTCATTCTCCATGTTGCCTTCACCGATGCGCGGCGGTATTTTACGTGAGTCCAGATAATCGCAAGTGAGAAAGAAACTGAAATTGCAAACTTATTAACCTTTTCGGCAACAATTTCATTTCATTACCCATCCAAATGCGGGTCCAATGTATGTACTGCCGTTACAGCGTCCACAGTTATCGTGAAAACGGGGCGATGATTATCCAACCACTTGGTGCCGGGCAAATGCACGTTGGGTGGTATGAACGAGTAGTTCTCGGGTGGCGTTTCTACCATTACTGGTAGCTGAAATTCGCCTACTTTCAATTTACCATCTTGCAGCAGCGGTAGCCATGTATAACCGACTGGCGTTTCCACTGATGGTTGCATCTCTTGTGGCTTCTTCTGACACGAAACATGATAGAGCGTGAAGAAGAGATGATGATTTTGTTTTATATTAGCCGGTAAAGCGATTTTGATTTCATCATAAAATGTTGGACATTTATTATGGTAATTAACTGCTGTGAAGGCCTCGCTTGCGTACTCCGGACAAGATGACTTGCCAAATATAGCATTAACTGCATCTACTTGTGTTTCACCAGCCATGAGTTGTACGCGAACGGCGATGTTACGTGCGGAACCAGCGCGTGATGAGAAATTCAATTCTTTGGGTGAGACGAAAAGTAAGTTGCGATAGGTGTAATGTGGATTATAAATGGCGGCCGAGGGAAATTCTAATATTTCCTTAATCGGTCGCGTTTTGTCCTCCGGATAGGGATCAATTTTGGCTAGCTCGGGTGTTAAGGCGTTTTTCACCTCCTCGGGGCAGGGTAAAATTTCGAGCTTTATCGATCCAGGTATACATTTGTATTTTTTCATAGCATTGCTGGGACGCTTCAACTCAGCTAAAAATTTATAAAGATCCTCATCTTTCATTTTATCGGATTCCTGTGAGACGTTAAAAGAAGAGGAGACAGATAAGAATGCGATATCACATAAAAATAAAATTGACGTAACACCTTGCCGCTTGTACATCCCACTTACTTGTTTAAAGAAACTCGATACAGTTATTGTTATTGGCCTGAAAGACTCGATAACATTAGCGAAGTCATCTAAAGACCAAGATCTTCGTTTCTCCTTTCGCTCCAGCGAGCCACGCCGTGTCAAAGTGCCGCTCATATCATTCGCTTTGCGTCGCAGTTGATCGAAACTGCTTGTGGATGCCTTGCGATCTAAAATACATTAGTCAAATTTAATTTGTTTCCTAAAATTTCGTGGTCCTGCAAACTCACCCAAGCTATTAGAGCTAACCGCTGAAGTCAAGTTACCACCACCGGACGCATCTTTTTCTGCATTCCCACCAGCACCATCTTTATTTTCAACATTTTCGCCATTGAATATGCTGTTCAAATAAATGCCTGTCCATGCGAATGGCATACGATATTTGCCCAAACGTTCGCAAAAGTCTGCAGCATTCGATTTGGCCTTGTCGCGATACTTGTCCTTATCGTCCTTCAAATATGGTTCCACAGAATCCTTAATATCGCCTTGTAAAACTTTTTCCAACCGTATCACTAGAAAAATGTCACTGCTCGGATAGGTTATCTCGAAAATGCCAGCACGACTTTGTGTGCTTGCATCTGCGCAACGCACATGTGTGCTCAGCATACGCTTCAAATTATCCGAATTCATATCAAAGTAAAAATTTTCCGATATTTTTTTGCGCTCCTTTGCATCATAAATCGCCATAGTGGCGAATATTGGCTCCACCTCTAACTCAAGACGCAACTGTAGACATTTGACGAGTATGCGGTGGCCCAAATGCTCCATGGGTATTTCAGCCGGTAAACGCCGTTCGATAACATCCTCTGGATCGGCTTCTGGGTAAAGTGAGAATAGCGCTTCCTGCCGATCTTCTTGTCGACGTGACTCATTCGTTAGATCAATTTGTTCTGGCGGCACATCATCAAGCAGATTGGGTATTAGTGGATCATTTACCGAACGTCTCAAATCAAAGCTAGCCCAAGAACCACGCGGGGTCAACGTATCAGTGCACGAGCTCACCGAGGAGAGGCTGGCGATCGATTGCCGTGAACTCGGTGTGCAGCTGTCACTTTTGTCGGTTAGATTCTCATCAAAAGATGCAAATTCTTTGTCAATTTCGAACTCTTGCTGATAGGCAGAGGGGCTGATAGTGCCACGGTCGATGCGCTCACGTGCACAACAAGAGCTCGAGTAGTGACGCTGTGCATATTCGACTACCTTCCAAGGTCGTGTATAGCAGTTGACACATTCCTGCACATACAACGGCAACTCGGCGCTGCAAAGGTGAAACATTTTTTGTTTAAAATAATGGTACTACATCAAATATTATAAATGCCATCTCACATGTTTTCTTTTGGTACAATATGCTCAATGGTACGTATTTTGCGCGGAATAATCTTCACCGCTACATCAGCAGGTGGAAAATCAAGAATATGTTTTAAGGGATCTCGGTTCAATATGTTCATGTGTTGAGTGAGAAACTCCTCATAATCCAAGGGTTCCACCGGCTCGGTGAGCGATAGCTTTAAAAGGAGTAATACATACATATATAGGTACTTATTTATTTTAACTTAATTGTTTTATGCGAAATCATATACTACATAACAGGAACACTTTTATGCATTCACTATATATAAAATATATACATATATTCGATTATTTCACTGCATTATAACTTATTTGCGTGGGAGTCAGTGACCTGCATTCTAAATATGTAGTTGCATGAGGCCCCACCCAAGTTCACAATTGCTTGCCTCACCAACCCCTCTCACCAACTACTACAACAAACTCACCGTGGACGAACACATTGAGCCGGAATCCACAGCCTTTGTTTGCAAATGATAAACTCCGACATTTTTTCGCACCTCGGATGAGTTATGTCTGTGAAAATAAAAGAAAACAATTAAATAAAAGTGAAAATCTCTAGTCGCGGTGAAAGTAAAGAGAAAATTCCACTTTGCGGCGAACAACGCCCATTGGGTGAGGTCTGTTTTAATTCACTCCCTGGAAAGAGCACTTACTTCAATTTCTGTGCAAATGTGCGCTGCGTACCGGACATTATGTAAACGCCTTATGTTTTTAATAAGAAATAATAGAATTCTTCACAATTTTTGCACTATAATTGCATTTTTTCGCACTTTGCCAATCGGTCGATTTTTATGTGTACAAGTGAAAAATAAAAATGGCCGCATGTCAAAATTGACATTTGTTTAATTTTGGTTGTTTTCTCTTTGTCAAAAGTGACAATCAGCTGTGAGCTTTCCTAAACAGCTGCTGTATTGCTGTTGCATCTGTTGCATTTGTTTACAATCGTGTTTAGTGGTGTTTGTGTTTGTTTACATTTTTAATGGCGAATTCGCGAATACGTATATGAGTTTGTTTACAGTTTTTTATGACTGTGTTCGTGAGTCAGATTTGAGCTTTTCAGGTGATTTAGAAATAAACAGGAGCTTTGGACCGTTATGTTTCATAAAATTCTTCTTCACAAGTCTGCGATAGATAGGGGGTGGAACTTTCCGACCATTTTAATTCAAATTGGCGGTAGGATTTAGATTGGTAACCCCGGAGTACAGCAATAAGGGAAACATGGGAGGTAGAGGGGTTCCTGTATGAAGTTTCAAAGCGCGCAACCTTATAGTTTTTAAAGAATTTTTTATTAAAGTTTGTAATTTTAGCAAACTTGTATGGCACTTAATATAAAAACATAAAAATATAACTCCTAAACTTTGTGCAAAACTCGCGAAAATTCAGCAAATTTTCATGAAAACATTCAACTTTTTAATCAGATTTTTTAGAATTTTTTCTCGTAGATTTTTAGCCCAATTTTATTATAATAAAGTGCAAGTTTTAAGTAGCTAGGAAGTACCGTTGATTTTTGGCAGTTTTTTTCACGCTGTCTCTTCCATACAAATTTTTTTTTTCGAAAATCCTCTATATGAAAAAAATGCAAAACACCTTCAACAAAAAAATTCTAAAAAATCAACGCGATTTTTGACTAACTTCGTTTTCGCATTTTTTATTACTAGAATTTAATGGGCTATAAAACTGCATACTCAAAAAAAATCTGATTAAAAAGTTGAAAATTTTGATGAAAATTTGCTGAATTTTCGCGAGTATTACACAAAGTTTAGGAATTATATTTTTATGTTTTTTGTTGTTGAATGAACCATATTTTTATACAAAATTAGCGGAAAAATATTAGAATAAAAATTGTTGCATATATTGTGAAAAATTTGCTGTGCCAATACTTTGTTCCGGCAGTGTATATTTATGTTGTAATTTTCATAGATTAAAACTTTTTGAGGATAACCAATAAAAATTAAAAATAATTACTATTTGATTTCTATTTTTTCGATAAAAAATAATGATTATTTTATGATATTTCATCTTTCGCTCAAAGATAATAATTATTATTGAGTTTTTCTCACTTAAGAATAATGATTATCCTTTTAAAAGGTAATACATATTTCAGTTGCTTGCGTCTGTATGGCCTTTAAGGTTTTATTAATAATCCGTATTTTTAAGTGGAAAAATAAGTCTCAATAAAAAATATTATCTCTGAGCGAAAAAATAAAAATCATAAAATATTCATTATTTGTGATCGAAAAAGTTAAAATCAAGGAATAATAATTTCTGTTGAGCGAAAATATAAAATTTAATAATAATTACCATGATAAAAAAAAATATAAGGTACCTAGTTTCACTTCAAACTTTTTTGACGTTTACAGGCATTTTTGAAGTTTTCATAAATTGTACATTTAGAAGCAGCGTTGCCACATTGGTATTAACAAAATATAATTTATGGTATTTTGGGATGGGAGCTTCTATTGTTTTTAATGGTTCTTAGTCTTTTCATACGATCCTAAATAGTTAACTTTTGGAGTTCTAAAATGTGTAATAATTATGATTACCTCAGGAAACCTCAAACTAAAAAGGCATATCAGAGACGTAAAAATTTGCGGATTTTTTTTAAATACCTGCAATTTTTCTATTCATGTAGGTATTATGTATGTACATTGGGCTGCATCACCAAAAAAAGTCTCGGTTTTTCCGCCGGGATCATAAAATATATTATAGTTAAAGACTTCCACCAAAATATTTCGGAAAAATATTAAGATTTACGTGAGCTGGACCGATTTCAAAATACATCCAAAAATGAAGTTTTTTTATGAATAAACGTAGTTTCTTAAATGTTTTTTTGTAAAATCCCCTCGGACGACAAAACTGTTTAAGTTTAATAAATCTGCATAAAAATATTTTAAAAATTATCAACGGAATGATAATAATAATATTTTTAAAATGACACTCGTTCATACTTTGAATTGAATTATGCAAACAAATAAAACGGATGAGAAAATATCTTTGCAATGATGCCCTATAAGTCTAAATCGGCGAACTTTTGACCGAGTTATTTAAGATTTTCTTAAATCAATGTTTGAAAAAAGTTCAAGAAGAAGAAAAGTTTTTAATGAAATTTTTTAAGCTTAAACTGTTTCGCCATCTGAGGTGATTTTTTCAAAAAATCCAATTTTTATTCATAAAAAACTCAAGGAGGTATTTTCAAATCGGTCCAGCTCCAGTAAATCTTAATATTTTTCCGAAATGTTTTGGTGCAGGCCTCAAAATATAATAGATTCCAATGGGAAAACACTACCGATTTCTTTTTGTATGGGGAGTGATGCAGTCTAATGTATATATAAATATACTTACATACGATTCAGTTTCTCCAAAACATCTGAAATTGAGGAAATACATATATTGCTTTGAACAACAAAATGGTACTTCGGGAAGATTTTATTCCTTCACGTTAGAAGTTTCTAACCACTTATTTCTAATAAACGAGAAAATTAAAAAAATTTGACTCTGGAATCCTTGCACAAATTTAGAAGATTCCTACAGCTTTCAAATGCGCAATTAATTTTTTATTTTATTAAAATTACAGATTTCTCGTTTTAAAATCTGTTGTTTGAAATTTTTTCAAAGGCAATAATTTTTTTTTGTGGCTGGTAGCTTGATTTTGATAGAGATGTCAAAATACGAGCAAAAGTCAAGTGGCTAACATGGCGGCAAAAATCATTGAGTGAAACTACCTTATTTTTTGTATCATGATAATTACTATTTATTATAAAATAATGCTGATTAAAATAATTTTTTTTATAATGACTGCGATCCCTGCTTAAAATAAAATAAATTTTGTCCATAATTCCGATGACAAAACCGTACCGATTTTTATTTTGTATGGAGAGTGATGCACCCTAATGTACATACATATGCAGAATTTGAATTCACTAAACTCCCGGATTCTCATTAAATCTTGCATAACCTAATAATTGCAATTCACACAAATTTTAATACTTAATTCTTTTCAACTTTGTTTGCAAAAAGGGCTGTTTGTGATTAGCTATAAAAATTACAACGAACTCATAATTAGTAAATCTCGCCAATGAATGTAACAAAAGGCATGTTATGAATAAAGATGATTACCTAAAGTGGTTTCAATACTTGAATTATTAAAATACTACATCCCAGCGGACCAAATGCTGAGAAATGTTCGCGATTCTGGGCAGCGGGAGAGGGAGCGAGACAACTGCCAGGTTATTCAACCTTCTATTATTGAATCGTCGACTATTTCATAAACTGGTGTATATAGATAGCTATAATAGATGATGTACTCTGCCCTGAGAACTCAAGACCTCGCCGAGCGCTGATGAAAACCTACATTTTCAGGGTTGGCAGGGAGTGAATGTACTCCACCTGATGTGTTTGTCTACTTCTGGTGATTGCGTCGCCAATTTTCCGAAGGATTTAGCGTTTGCACGGTTTGAAGGACAAGTAATTTTCAAATACTTGAAGTGGAGACACAGAATGTTCAAAAGTCATGTGCCTCAGAACAACAGAGCAATTGATTTTTTTTTCTGGTCAGTCTAATATAGGGTGATTCAATAAGACCGCAGACTTTCGCAATAGGATCATTGTTTCACTCGCTGCTTGACGAGTGTGGCGCCGCTGTTTGACAAGTGAAACCACATATTGGCCAAGTCCATGTCGTCTAATTTTCACAAAAAATTGCTGTCAAAAATCTGCATCACTCTTATACCACCCTACATATATGTATGTACATATGTATGCATACCAACATTTAAGTTCTACATGGTTTGTTTTATAAGGTTCAGAACCCAGTCAATCAGAACTTATTTATGAATGAATAGAGCACCTATCCTTATTGAGGATATCATATCTCAAAAAAAAAAAAAAATGTAAAAAAGAGGATTATATGGCAGGTTCTTAACTTATTCTATTCAATTTTGAGTAAGCCTTTGTTTAGCTGTCATTAAATTGCACGCTACAGTGATTGGAATAAGTGATGTTTTGTGCGAAGTTTTGAAAACTTCAGACTGCCATCGGCAAACTATGTAGTATGATGTGAAGACAGCCTACGCATTGTTGCGTCCTCGTAATGTGTAGGGAATTTTTGTTGTTATTATTAATAGAATTATACATCAAAGTCAGCTTAAATATGATTAAATATGAGCCATGTGTTTGCGAATCTTTATGTTTATACTTAATTGCTGTAATAAATCTATTTATAGTAAACATTTAATATCTCATAAAAAATTTTACGTTCACTTTCGATCGTTTTCTCAAAACTAAATATGTATACGTGACTGTGCATCATTCCTGCATTCCTATGTGTAGTTTAGTGGGTAGGTGCATTCCAGAGAAAATTGAGATACAAAATTTATACTTAGATGTCTTCATGAAGTCAACTGTTAGATTCGATTGGTCATTAACTCCCCTCGTATAAAAAGCAGTATGTGAAGTTGACCGGATTGAGCAATCACCTTATCCCTTTGCTTAAATCGCTCAGGTCTCCAAAGGTT